AATACAAAAGGTGAAAATGCTATTCTTAAGGTAAATATAGAGCACATTTGCGGTTTTGGGGAAATAGATTAGCAGAGTGCGGAAATACTGATGATTATTATTATTATTATTTATTGTTATTTAATAACCTGTTTCTAACAGACTTTAGGGCACTTACCTCTTTAACCTTTTGAGGATGTATCGGGTGACCATGGTCAGAGTTACCTCTTTTCCAGAATCTTCAGTCATCTTTAGGAAGGTTTTGGCACCCAGAAATCCACTGCAATTAAATTAGAATACAGAAGCAGGTCATAGCAAATGCTCTATCATTAAAGGCACTGGTAGGCCAGATATTTTTCCCCATTATTTTTCCTTCCCTCTTCAGCCAATCTTGGACATTTATGGTATAATTCAGAAACAGAACTGCAGAGGGAAGTGTGTGAATGGAATGCTGAGAAGAGTCACAAGGATCTTTATAGGTTAGGAAACAAGAAGCCATGTTTTCTCTCTTATGCTTGGCGGTATGTATAGTGGATCGTTCAGCTTATAACGGCTAGAGATACATGGACACTGGGACAGTTAGCGTTAGGGATACATGGACACTGGGACGGTTAGCGTTAGGGATACATGGACACTGGGACAGTTAGTGTTAGAGATACATGGACACTGGGACAGTTAGCGTTAGAGATACATGGACACTGGGACAGTTAGTGTTAGAGATACATGGACACTGGGACAGTTAGTGTTACTGTTGAGATTAGGCTATACGGATGGCTACTGTTAAAGTAGGGACTAGAGCTATGAAGATTGTTTAGGTTAGGATTAGGAATATAGGGAGAATTAGTGTTAGCTTTGGGGTTAGGGTTGTAGGAAGGGTCAGTTTTAGGGTTGTGGTTGGAGCTACATGGAGGGTTAACATTAGAGTTATAGGAAAGGATAGCATGAGGGTTGGAGCTACAAACAAGGTTAGTGTTAGGTTTACCAAGCGTGTGAGGACTATAGGTAGTGTTGGAGTTACAGAGAGGGTCAGTCTTAGGAGTAAAGCATTGCTGTTTGCATTGGGAGATCAGCGCCAAGCAGTCCCAGCATCACTCTCACAGCACTAAAAGTTCCCGTATAAAGTTATCTAACCTCTCCGGACAGTGCTCATTTGACAGTGTCTGGGGCCTCCCACACAACTGAGATGATTTCCTATCTTGCCTGGATTGGGTAACCTTCATTCTCAAGACTATAGGTCTCTAGCGTTCAATCGGTGGCCTAGGGGCTGCCACGCAGCCTATTGGAACTTATTGTGTGGCCCTCGGGGCCCCTGCAGGCAGTAGTTTGTATTTTGGTGCTGGATCAAACCAGTGAAGGAAATATATTCTATAGACTGCCTTCTACTAGTAAATGGCTTGCCTTATTTCTTTTTTTTGTGCTGTCCCCTTTTCTTTTTTCCTCTGATCTTTCATAATGGAACTTGCTGGGTGAAATATCAAATGCTGCACAAGTAGTTTTTAAGGGGGCTAAAGGGAGCTCATATTTGGGAGTATGGATTTGTAACAGGGTTGTAGTAGCAGTGATCTCTAGCAGTCTCGTGTAATGTGCCCCGGGTCTCTAACAACTCCTATAGTATATCTGTGTCTGTGAGCATCTCTTGCAGCATGCACATAGTCTCTAGCCATCTCTGATAGCATGTCTGTTGTCTCTGACCATCTACTATAGCATGTCTGTTGTCTCTGGCCATCTGTCATGGCATGCCCATTATCTCTGGTCATGTCCTGTAGCATGTCTACAGTCTCTGGCCATCTCTTCTTGCTTACCAATAGTCTCTGGTCATTTCCTAGAGCATGTCTGTTGTCTCTGGCCATCTCTTGTAGCATGCCCAAAGTCTCTGGCAATGTCCTGTAGCATGTCAACAGTCTCTGACCATCTCATGTTGCATACGTATAGTTTCTGGTCATCTCGTGTAGCATGTCTGCCGTCTCCGACCATCTCTCAATAATAATTACCCCCCTTCCCCGCAACAATAATAACAGACATATTATAGGAGATGGCCAGAGATTATGGGCATCATAGTCTCTGGCCATCTCCTATAATATGTCTGTTATCTCTGGCCATCTCCTGTAGCATGTCAACAATGTATGGCCCTCTCTTGTTACATAGCCATAGTCTCTGGCCATTTCCTATAGCATATTTGTTGTTTCTGGCCATCTCTTGTAGCATGCACATAGTCTCCGGCCATGTCTTGCAGCATGTCTACAGTCTCTGGCTAGCTCATGTTGCATATAGGTTCTGGTCATCTCCTGTAGCATGCCTACAGTTTCTGCCCAACTCTTGTAGCGTGCCTAGAGTCTCTGGTCACCTTTTGTAGCATTTCCATAATCTATGACCATCTCCTGTAGCATGCCTACCATCTCTGGCCATCTCTTGTAGCATGCCTACTATCTCTGGCCATCTCTTGTAGCATGCCCATAGTCTCTAACCATCTCCTGTAGCATGTGCATGTCTCTGAAAGCTTTCTGTAGCATTAAATACTCTATGTGTGGCCCTTTAGTGATGTCAGGAGCTGCACTTGAGGCCCCCTATATCTATAGCACCTCCACCGCTATAAATAGTTTTACTTTTACTCGTCAAACCATAATTCCAGAATGCCAAAAGTTTGGAATTCCAAAACTCAATCTTTACAAAGGGCACAAACTAACATGAGGACAGAAAGGAGAAGAGACTCACCACAGACTCCAGCAACCCACATATACGGACCCAGGGTCCTACAGCTGCCAGACATTTAAAGTGGCAGCACAGTACGGCACAGTCCCTCGTCTGCTTTGCACATTCCTTTGTAGATTTATGGCCATGATATTAAAAAGAATCATTATGATTCCTAAGGCTTGTGTCGCTTGTAATGCCTGGCTATGTCATTCCGAGCCCGCCTTATTGGGATTTTAATTAGTGTACTCTAGAATCACATTAACGTCCCCCAGCAGCTGAGCGAAATTTATCAAAATGCCATCTTGATCCCCGCTGGTGCCGTCACCTGGGAGAGCGCTGCAATTAAGTCATTCCTCTTAACAGTAATCAGGATTTAGTATGTGATTTTTTGCTGCCACCGTGACCCCATTAGACTGACAGTTTGTTGACATTTCAGGTTAGATATTATCATATTATACATCGCCATTTCGCCCAGAACAGCGGGACGCTTTCAGCTCCCGATTTCATCTTGTTATCCAGGGAGAAATGACATATTGCCACAACTTAACCTCCATAATTAGGAGGACTTTCAAACCGGATACCGAGGTTCTGGTAGGGCGGTCACAGCTCTCGTCAGCCAAGAGATTAAAGGGCCAGTAAAATCTATTTATAAAGCCACTAAATGTTCCAAAGAACAATTTAAATGTTAAAGGGAACTTGTCACCAAGGAAAAGGCACTTGGCCATGCATGCAGGTCATTAGATAAGCCTGAGCCTTGAATAAATTGGACCTGAGGAATTAAAAAGTTATATGAAGTGATATTAAAGCAGAACTGTGGGTAGAAATGTTATTAACCCTTGCAGTGTGGGGGTAGTCAAAGAGTTAAAGAGAAACTTTACCCATATCTTCAAAATAACAACAAAGACACCTTTAGAAATGTTTAGTAATGACACCCTACAAACACATACTTCTAGATAATTGCCGGCTTTTTACTCTTTGCATACCTTACTTTTCTTTTCCTCCCCAGCCTTCTCACAGTGGCCATTTTCACTAAGGGCAGATTAATATATCTCCCTTTACTTCCTGGAACTCTGGCCACTGGCGGAACTACCAGGGTCGCAGCAATCGCATGTGCGACCGAGCCCTGGTGTTCTGCCCCTTGGGGGGGGGGGGGCAGAAAGGAGGAGAGCTGCGGCAGCTGACAATTAAGTCTTAGTGCCGGCCTGCACAGGATCGTCTCTGTGCTGAGGATATCAATCCGCCTCAGCGTGCAGAGTGATGTCAGGAGGGGAAGAAGCTTGGGAGCTGGAACAGGTGAGAGAAAAGACAGTAAAAAGAAGATACTGATAATGTTTAATAACTAATGCATGTTTTTTTTTTTTTATTAACTCCTGCCTATTAACAATTCTCCCCCAGGCAGCAATAATAATTACCCCCCTTCCCGGGCAAAAATAATAAATTATTATTGCTGCGGGTAGGACGGGATTATTATTGCTGCCTGGAGGTTATTTTTTTTAAACGCTTGATAATTCATATTATTTCTTCTCAAGGCAGTGGTATTGCGTTACCATGCGTTGCGGTCAAATCCATTGTGGCCTGGAGGTGTGTTTCGGGTGCCATTCAAATGACTGTAACAAATTAATGGTGTTTTGTGCGGTAACGTGCGTTATTCACATGGGAACGTGTGATTAACACACAGGGGGCACTGTCTGGGGGGAGGAAGCCCTTCATGGTGTAAATGTAAATTGTAAGTAAAATGAAAATATGTTTGTTTAACTAATGAAAGTAAGATGATTTCATATCTGCATTCAGAGCTGTATGCTGAGGTGTTTTTTAGCCAAAAGGGGTAAAGGTCAGCTTTAAGTGCTCATTTTTGGCCAGGGTCAAAAATAAAAAAGTTACACTCACCCGATCCTCGGAGACGGCTTGCACTTAGACAAGTCTCTGGATCCTCTCTCCCCTCTCCACTCCAGCGGCCTGAGGTCCCTGAGTCATCATATTTTATACAGTGTGTATAGGACGTGAGGACACCGAGGGACATGCAGCGGAGGAGGAGACGGGCAGGAGGGAGCGTTGTCATAGCCGGCCGGCTCAGAGTCTTGGCTGAGTATAACTTTGTTATTTTTTACCCTTGGCAAAAAGGAGTACTTAACCCTCGCAGTGCAGATTGCTGGGCCCTGTATGGCAGTAATACTCTGTGCAGTTTTCACCACCTGCTGCAATGCTCTGCTTGTCCTGTACTGGGCCATTCCCATACCAGGATGTATTACATCTCGTAAGACAAATTCAATGGCACAACTATAGAAGATGGTCAGGCCAACATGTGGCATCCTGATCTTTCTTAGTCCCCTACATAAATAAAGGTGTTGTTCGGTCTTCTACACAGCAGCTTCTACGTAGGGTGACTACTTAGAGACCCGGTCATAGACTTAAAAATTGCAGGTAAAAAAAACCCTAGTATTTGAAGTGCTTACTTGCAGTGATTTTCCTTTCCAATACTGATTTTTCTAATAACTTGCCACTGAACTCGCTAGAAAATGTAACTACTCCAGGAGAGTAAATTCCCTAGGACATCCCCCTCCCTCCTATGCCGTAGCCCTCTCCTTTTCTGGGAGTGTCTAATTACTCTCTGTGCTGGCACAGCTCCTCTGCTCCTCCCTTCACCTCCCTACATAACCTTTTATGTAGCTGCCAGGGGAGAAGGAGTGAAGGGCAATACTATAGAGTGTCACTTGACTCTGCTGGAACTTCTGACATCACATCCAAGATGGTGGCATCCTTAAGTAGTCTCAAAGCTTCCAGATGTCTACACAAGGGATGCTACTTCAGGTACATGGATATATAATATGTTTAATGCACATATATTCTTGTGGGACGATTTTTGGTGAAATGAATGGCCTGGTGACGGGGTCCTGTAAAGTTTTCATTTGGGGTAACCCCAGAAAACCTAAAACGGTTAACCCTTTACACAACATCCTCTCCATTACTAATAGGGCTGCGCACTGTCACCCCGAATGAAAATCACAGATAAGCTCTTTAGTCTTAATGACATTGAGTATGGAGCTATTTGGTTCACCGGTCTAGCAGGCATTTAACTTCCTCCTGTAGGTTTATACATTGTCATTGGTATTATTTTCTGCAAACTTGGAATTGTTGCTGAAGTAATTGTGTTTACCTGAGAAAGAAGAAAGAATCGACCCCCAGGTACACCGGCCCGCTCAGCGTGTAGAAATACATTGGCTTCTCTAACACTCGTGATTTCCATTCAAAGGAATTATCTGTGATAGAGAAGACACAAAGTCAATATTTCCCATGAAACGTTTTCAGATTTCCATGTTTGTCTGACTTTATAATATAGAAGGACTCTGTAGTCTAATGCTGGCCATACACATAGGGACAAACAATGAATCTAAGATCTGATCACATGATGAAACCAATTTTAGTGACTTTTATATGACTAACCGAAACTTTTTTTGCGGTTTAAACAACAGTAGAGTTGTACTTCTATTCAAGGCTACATTACAAAGATTTCTCCATACAGTTCCAGTGATGACAGTTTTATCAGTCTATCTAATAGCAGGAGACTCCCGGAGCTTCCGGGAGAGTTGAGATGTCTGAGATAGGAAATGAGGAGAAATCTGCAACGGGGACACAAACAGAAATAACATTCTCAGTAGGGTGAGGCTAGAACTCTTGTCACATAAGCTAGGAGAAATAAGGGTCTGTATCTAAAGGAATGTGCTATAGTAGGGATGCACTGATCCTGGTTTTTCGGTATCGAGTACTGATATCTTTTTTGCGGTACTCGCTGATATCGATACCGGAAATCCTATTAAGGAAGCCAGGTGGCATGTAATGACTCGCCACCTGTCTTCCCGATTAGCAGGGAAGTAGTCTGTCTCCAAATTGCTGGAATGTCTTTCAGCTCCCCTGTGATTCCTTGCTTGTACTGCTTGACTTTTGACACAGATTTATTATCATTGGCCATTCCTGTTTGCTGCCTGCTTCTGACCTCGGATCGATACTGGACTTTGCCTCTGCATCATCCCTTTGTACCTTGCCTGCCCGATTGGTGTGACCTTGGCTCATTTGACCTGGATTAGGGATTGTGCCCTGGTCTGCAACAGCACCTGGATTTCAGCTTGCATGGTGTTATCACCACTGGCACCCGTGCCACTCGCTTTCTGCTTGGACTCTGTCCCCCAACTCCAGAGTCCTCGAGACACGAGGTGCAAGGGAGGCCTCCTCACACATTCAGTCTCCAACCAGGTACGTGACACTGTCTCCATGCGCCGTCATCACCAGGTGATCATGGAGGTGGCTTTCTGGCCAATCAGGACGCCAGGGGGCGGGTAATGACTCACCGCCCGGCTTTCTGATTGGCCAGCTTCCCAACCCATCAGGAATCTGAGCGGCGATTCATTACACGCTGCGCGGCTTCCTGATTGGCCGGGAAGCCAGCTCCATGTTCCTTCATCACTTGGTGACAAAGGGGGCCAATCAGGAAGCCGGACAGCATGTAATGACTCACCGCCCGGGTTCCTGACACCAGAAGCTGAAGTATTGGGCTAGGCATCGGGTGCCCAAATACTCGGTATCGGCACCGATATCGATACTAGTGTCGGTATCGGTGCATCCCTATGCTATAGTATTGAAAATGTGTATAGTTGAAATGTTTATTGAAGGTTCCAGGAGAGCCAACATATTTTAGGGATTTGTGTCCCCTTCATCAGGGTTAATAATAAACATATAGGATATTAAGTATCAATTTGTAAACATATAATTCCATAAAAAATATAAAAATGTGGTAATTATACAATAAATATATTAATACAGTATATCATATGATAATTACTGCCGAAAGAGATACATTCACCATGTGTGTATATACAGCGTGTATATACAGTATATATCTATATATATATATCTATATATTGTATCTTTATATCATGACAATATACATCATAATTTACTAAGATCATAGAAATCTTATTACAGATTGTTCTCATTAGGTTGCAAGATTGTATCAGTAAAGGGAATGTAAGACCCCTTTCACACGGGGGCCTTTAGTTCCATTCAGCAGGAGATCTGTGTAGGGGTCCCCTCCTGAACAGATTAGTACATATCAGATGTTACCGCTGTGACATGTGCGTCTGTCCAATTTTTCCCTCCATCTTGCTGTGGAGGAAAGAACTGAAATGACCAGATCAACGGCGTAACTAGAAATCACAGGGCCCCGTAGCAAAATTTTGTATGGGGCCCCGTGATTGCTAGTCATGCCACTTGTAGAGCCCAGCGGAGAGTCTCTTACCTGTCAGCGCCTCTGTGGTCGCCGGGCCCCGACTCCTGTTCCGTCCCCGGGCCCCGCCTTCTCTGCTATCGACGTACCCCGCCTTCTCTTACATCACTGGCCCCACCTGCTCTTAGGTCGCTGGCCAGTGATGTAAGAGGAGGCGGGCCCTGCCTCCTCCATTCCAAACTCCGCCCTCATCTGCCGCAGCGGCTGGCTGTCACTGACACAGCTGACACAGCTCCGCAGCGGCTATGAGGGGCAATGCTCCATGGCCGCTGCTGAGCTGTGTTTGTGACAGCCAGCACCCCCACATGCCAATCGCTATGGCGATTGTTACGCCACTGGACCAGATCCATGTTTAGTCTATGGGGAAGCAGATGTAAGTGCAGCCGTCACCTCATAACGAGGGAGCATGGAGTCGGCTTCCCGGCCAATCAGGAAGTCATTACACAGCGCCCGGCTTCCTGATTGGCCAGAAAGCCAGCTCAGTGCTTTCTCATCACCGAGTGACGAGAAGCATGGGGATGGCTTCCCTACTAATCGGGAAGCCGGGTGGCGAGTCATTACACGCAGCCTGGCTTACAGAATGGGACTTCCGGTACTAGGTATTCGGTATCGGCGAGTAGCGAAAAAAAAATATTGGTACTCGTACTCAATACCGAAATACCGGTATCGGTGCATCCCTAATTGTAAGGTGTATGGCCATCTTAAAGTAGAGATGTGGATGGATTAGGGCTCATTCAGACAGGCATGCACATTCTTACAGCTTGCACGCCTGTAAAAAGAACCGATCCCGGAAGGGACAGATGCTGCATGTAATTGCACGCAGCAGCCTGTTCTTCCCTATGGGGGGACGCGGCTGCATGCAATTACACGCTGTCATACGCACAACCAAACCTGCACAGTGCGGACACCCGTACCCGCACAGATGTGCAGGTTCCGATTTACGTATGACAGCGGTGTGCACGCTGTATGGACGTGTATATAAATGAATACATGTATCTCATAATGTACATACCAATATTAAAGACACTGGCCAACTGACTGGTGTGCCCGGAAATGATCCACAACAGGCTGAGGACTCGGATCCCATTGAGGGTGGGATATTCCTGACTGGTGACTGTCATCACGGATTGGATATTTTCTTGTAATGAGAAACTCTTCAGCACATGACCTAAACAAGCTAAACACAACAGATTCTACTTATATTATGTGCAGGAGCTGCATACGTCTGATAATACAATAACAACTCTTGGCCCTGGCTAAGAATATCAATGTATTTTAAATATGAAGTTGAATCTGCTTTTAGTTTACCTTCTCTGGTTCCTCTCCCCCCGCCCCACCCCATCAACATCGTAATGAAACAACCAACCTGTCCGAGACATCACAGATGACACTTAGATAACAAGCTGTCTGTGGCCAGTGGTGGGGGAGATCTTCCTAAACGAAGGGGCTCTATAAACTACTTTAAGAACTTCGAGGATGGATCGCTGAGTGCCTGCAGCTACAGAGGTCAGTGAAGGTTTATTTTAAATCTTATTTACTGCTTGTTTAGAACAGTGTTTCTCAACCTTTTTAAATCACGGCACCCTATAAAAGTATGCAAGATCTTGAGGCACCCCAGTCTAAAACATAAATGTAAAAAGACAACGTGTTGCCCCTCCAAAATGCATAGCAGCCCCTTATCCCATATAGAGGTGTGGTATGGATTTTCAATGGAGACCTCACAGAAAAACACACAAACAGATGAGGTTCTCCCATCACATCAGGGTCCCCCCTTCAAATCAGGAGCCCTCCCTTCACATCAGAGCCACCCTCCTTTAACATCAGCACCCCCCTTTCACTTAAGTAGCCCCCCCTCCACCTCTCCTGGAGCCCTCTTCAAATCATAGGCCCCCTTTCACATTAGAAGCCCTTCCCTTACACCAGGAGTCCCCTTTTCACATCAGAAGCCAGAAGGGGTGTGGAATCCCCCAACGGGACATGCAGTTTCGGGCACCGGGCGGGTAGTTGTTTTCTACATTTAGCCCTGCTTTGGGCAAGGAAGGCTAAAATGTAGAGCGGGGAAGCCACTGGTTCGTTTACAAGTGATCTCGGCAATATCGTTGAGATTATCTGTATGCAGCCTACAGGTCTGTCCTCCTCCCGACAACCCCCCCATCCCCGCCATGTACCTTTATCCTCGCTTGAAAATAATAAGATAAAAAAACATAAAAAATAAAAAAAGTAAAACATAAGATAAATAAAAATGTAAAATAAATGAATAAAAATGTAAAAAAAATAAATAAAAAAAGCAATAAAAAAGTAAAAATTAAATTAAAACTAACCCTGCCATCTGGTTGCCATTCTCCACTGGGGGGTTGGCGGAGAGGGGGGGGCACATTGAGGAACCTGGACTTGGGGCAGCAAAGAGAGTAAATCCAGCCCTGGGCACCCATGAGGAAGCCAAAAGGGGGCTCAACCACAGCAAACTGGTTGAGAAAGGCTGGTTTAGAATATGGAAATATCTCAATGTTCATAGCTTGGTCTAAGTTAAGGTCAAAGTTTAATTACAATATTGAAAAAAAATAATTTCATGGCCCTTTTTACTATCCAGATGTATTAAATATATATATTAGTTTATAATATGACCTCCAGCCTTTTTCTTGGAGTCATTAAACAGGTAATTTCAATCTACTTGTTCCATTACAACTGATCTATTTGATCTCCAAGGGTTCCTCACAGATCTGATAACCTCCTCATTTATCTTCTTCTTCAGCGGCTTCATTCCTGGGTGAATGTTCTTCCTTAGTACCTGAAGAGTGTTCTGGGATTTCACATGTTAAAATATGTGCTCTGCTTTCACGGGGCCACTAAAAAAAAATGAGATTACTTTATATACAACGCTTTTTAAAAACAATCACCGATAAATATGCAACTGTTTTAGGAACCCGTGGGCACACGAAGGGGGGTAAAAACCTGATTTCCATCTTTAGAGCTTAATTGAATGCAGTTATATTTCCCCATTGCACATACACTGTGCATTGTCTAATGTGCAGACGCAGGCTAAAGCCAGCAGGTGGCGCAGTTGCAAATTTGTATGAAGCATAATTATGAAAATGAGGCCCAGAAAACATGGAGCCACTCAAAGTCAATTTAAAGAAAAACGTTTAGATAATCCATAATAATTACTGGTCTGATGGAAGTGAACCTGTGCACAGCCTATGGACATTTATGTATTTACTTATTCTAAACAAACAGTAAATTACCTAAGACAAGCCCCTATTAACCTTTGTAGCTTGAGGCACTATGTAGCAATTCATCCTTAAATTTTATAGCAGGAACACTGAAGTTGTCCAAGCTGTCCTCTCAGTAGTTCAGCTCCCCCTGCTCCGCCCCTACCAGCAGTGACTCAGCAGCTTAGATAACCTGCTCCTTTATCTCAGAAGTGACTCAGAAACTCAGGTCACCTTGCTCCTTCATCCAATCAGCAGCTAAGCAGATCAAATCATCCTGCTCCTTCATCCCAGCAGTCGTTAAGCAACTTAGATCACCCTGATCCCTTCTCCCAGCGATAACTCTGCAGCTCAGCTACCCCTGCCCCTTCCCCTAAACAGTTGCTTAACAGCTCTACTCCTCTGCACCCCCTTCCAACGGTGATTCTGCAGGTCAGCTCCCTCTGCAACATCTCCCAGCAGTGACTCTGCAGCTCAGCTTCTTCTGCTTCCCCTTCCAACAGTGACTCTGCAGCTCAGCTCCCCCTGCTCCCATCACCCTCATGTGGCAACAATGGGGGCTGAGTGCCCAATCACCAGTACCAGGGGTGTTATGTGTGAGGCAGGGGAGTAATTCCAATGCGTTCCATACTTATTTTCTCAGCAACAGAGGAGTCGAGAGGAGCTAAGAATAACCTGCTGGTGGGGCTGGCATTAAAGAAAACCTGTTGCTTTGTCCTGGCTGAGTAAAGCAGAGGTTCACTTTAATCTGTTGGAGATGTTTTGTCTGTCTGTATTAAAGACGCCAATGGCGGTATTTCTTTGTAATTGCACCGAGCAATCTCCCCAACTCTCTGGGCAATTCCCTGTGAAATGGTATTTATGTATCGCGCGTAGATTACTTGGCGTCTTCTTATTACTGTAGTCCTCCTCCGGGGGGGAAGCGGATTTAATGGCCGGCTTATCTTGGTCTGGAGCTCTCGGTTTCCTGTGCGGAATGATGCTCTGACACTGGCTGAATGGCGACGAGCCTCTGAAGTAAAGAACTGCAGTGTAGACGGACCCAATTATTGGCAAGATGATCAGCAGCCCACTGAGGAATCTGCCAGGAGCACAGAGAAGAATTATTGATATTTCGGTGACGCTTACAGAACATTATTGTGGCATTGAGTTCATACTTACAGGCAAATAATGGCGAATGTATTAGCTGGGAAGAGGCCTCGGGAGCAGACTGTATTGGCCATGGTGACAGCAGTTTCATTCTGGATGATGAAAGAGGGCAGAGGAGCCAGAAATGGCGTGCTCTTATATCTGAACAGGCCTGGGAAAATAATTATGATTGAAGTTAGGTAATTCTAATTTATACCGTGTTATTTCCTGACAATACAGAATGCCAGAACAACACATGCCTAATACATATGTCACAGTATACATGTCACACCAATCAGAAGATGCCGAGATCTAGAAGGACCACTAACAGACAGCCCAAAGGCACTGAAAACTTTGGAAAGAAATAGCAGAGGGCGCAGAATAGGCAACACCAGAAGAACATCGGGAACGAGGGATAGTGTGGGCACAGAATAGGCAACACCAGAACATTGGAAAGAAGCGATAGTGTGGGCACCAAATAGGCAACACCAGAAGAACTTTGGGAAGAAGCGATAATGTGGGCACAGAATAGGCAACATCAGGAGAACATTGGGAAGGAGAGATAGTGTTGGCGCAGAATAGGTAACACCAGAAGAACATCGGGAAGTCGGGATAGTGTGGGCATAGAATAGACAACACCAGGAGAACATCGGGAAGTAGCGATAGTGAGGGCACAGAATAGGCAAAACCAGAAGAACATTGGGAAGCAGCGATAGTGTGGGCACAGAATAGGCCTCACCAGGAGAACATTGGGAAGGAGGAATAGTGTGGGCAGAGAATAGGCCTGACCAGGAGAACATTGGAAAGGAGGAATAATGTGGGCACAAAAAAGGCCTTACCAGGAGAACATTGGGAAGGAGGAATAATGTGGGCACAGAATAGGCCTCACCAGGAGAACATTGGAAAGGAGGAATAATGTGGGCACAGAATAGGCCTCACCAGGAGAACATTGGAAAGGAGGAATAATGTGGGCACAGAATAGGCCTCACCAGGAGAACATTGGAAAGGAGGAATAATGTGGGCACAGAATAGGCAATGCCAGGAGCACATCGGGAAGAAGCGATAGTGTGGGCACAGAATAGGCAGCACCAAGAGAACATTGGGAAGAAGGGATAGTGTGGATACAGAATGAACAACACCAGGAGAACATTGGAAAGGAGGGATAGTGTGGATACAGAATAGCCAGCACCAAGAGAACATTGGAAAGGAGGGATAGTGTGGGTACAGAATAGCCAGCACCAAGAGAACATTGGAAAGGACGGATAGTGTGGGTACAGAATAGGCAGCACCAAGAGAACATTGGGAAGGATGGATAATGAGGACACAGAATAGACAACACCAGAGGAACATCAGGAAGGAGGGATAGCGTGGGTACAGAATCAGCAACACCAGAGGAACATCAGGAAGGAAGAGATAGTGTGGGCACAGAATAGGCAACACCAGGAGAGCATTGGGAAGGAGAGATAGTGTCGGCACAGAATAGGCAACACCAGAGGAACATCAGGAAGGAGCTTTAGTGTGAGCACAGAAAAGGCAACACCATTGTGAAGTGAAATAGCGTGGGCACTGAATAAGCAACATCAGGAAAACATTGGAAAGGAGGGATAGTGTGAGCACAGGATAAGCAAACCAGGAAACATTGGGGGTAAGTAAGACGCAATAAAGGGGAGTGGAATACTTAGGATGACAGAAGAGTGGTATAGAAGGGATCACACAGGTAGATGGTATAATATTGGAAGAAGTAATGGAGGCATAAATACAGGAAACCAATATATACAAGGTGTACCTTTGACAGTCATACAAATACCAGGACCACTTTCTTAGTATCAAGTACAAGAACATGCACCTGTGATGGGGCCCAGAAGCATTGGGGCCCCAGAGATGTCTGGCTACACAGTGATTTATAAAGGTCACAATACCATTTGGTGAATACATATAGCGTACATTAAGTTTGGAACCCTAAATCAGTATAATACATAACTAACATAAATGCCTTTGGGATGCAGATTAGGTAGACACAGTGGCCCCTTAATGGTTTTGTTATAGAGCCCCATCACACATAGTTACAGCCTTGAATTACCACACTGTTTAAGTACCTATAGAGGCCAATGAGGTTATCTCTTGGCTAGAACAAGAATCAGGGACGCATATCCCAATCACAAACTTTATTCCTTCCTGTAAAATAAAAACAAGTGAATGTGAAATAAATAAATTGTTATAAATGTAGCGTGGTGCAGCAATACAATTTCCTATGCTCCTCAGCTCCATCTAGTGGCCATAAATAAATACACTTCCTATGCTCCTCAGCCCCATCAAGTGGCCATAAATACCTTTTTCCTATGCTCCTCAGCCCCATCTAGTGGCCATAAATACCTATTTCCTATGCTCCTCAGCCCCATCTAGTGGCCATAAATAAATACTTACTTCCTATGCTCCTCGGCTCATTCCAGTGGCCTAAATACCTATTTCCTATGCTCCTCTATCTCCATTTAGTGGCCATAGGCGATATTATACCAAAACATTCAAAATTACATTGTACTTGTAAAGAAGAAAAAAATGTAATAACGTTGCTTTTTGTATACTGTATATTCGCACAAAATGCATGTTTACAAAAATTCACAGGGCGAACAGCTCTGGCTACAGGAGTTGGGTGTTTACTATGCTCATTTAGCGCCATCTTGTGGCCATAATAAATACTTCTTTCCTATGCCCCTCAGCTCCATATAGTGACCATAGGTGATATTACACCAAAACATTTGAAATTACATTGCACTTGTAAAGAAAAAAAACTTAGGGGGATATAACTCAGCCGAAGTGAAGTGAGCTGTTCGGCTATTCACTTCAGTCTTGTACGGCTGATTTCAGCTGTACATCGGCTAAAATCAGCCGTACATTGTACATCAGTTGAGCCGAAGTGCAGAAGGAGTTCGACTCAGCCGATCCAACATCAGGATCAGCTGAGCCAAAGCTCCATCAGCTCCCTTACTGCCACTCACCCCTTTTCTCATAGGGGCCGAAAGGCAGTGAGTGGATAGCGGCATTCAGCTCGGCTATTCTGCTCGGTACCTCAGGCTATTATGAATAGCCCTTTCAGCAGCCCTTAGTTTCGACTGAACCAAAGGGCTCCGGTGGCCGAAGAGATCCGAAGGATCAGCCGAAGCTATGTCTGGATCCTTCGGCTCTTTTGTGAATAACTTTTTGCATATATTTGCACAAAAATGAACGTTCAGAAGAATTCACAGGAGGAAAGACTCTGGCTATAGAAGGCGGGCTATAGAATTGTGAGCTTGGGGGTTTGCAGTGTGCTCTGGGGAAGGTGGGGGAGGTTGGGGGGTGTAATGAAAGGTAGAGAGATGGTTATGATTGGAGTATTCCATGCCTGATGGACTGACTCATTTAAAGGACCGGCACATTTTGTGACTTTTATCCTGCGGTAACAAGCCTACACAGTTTGGCCATCTTCATGTCAGATGTCTAGTGTAACTAAGGAAGGAGTCCCGTACCTGCTCCACGTGCAGCTTGCAGTATTCTCCCTTGAAGTTTCCTTGAGGATCTTCTACTGAGAGGCACTCGCTGAAGGACCCCAGTCTGTCCACATTTCCGGTCAGTAAGCTGCTTCCTGGTTTTCCCAGAGCGTCGTACACTGCAAGGAGAACGTACACCCTGTTCAATGTGTTTCTTTGTTATCTGGTCTATTTTGCCATGTTATGTTCTGGAGTAATGGCCGCCTCCACCTTCGTAACATCTCCAAAATACGCCCCTTCCATACCAACGAAACCGCAAAATTACTCATCCACTCACTTGTTATCTCTTGTCTTGACTATTACAACTCCCTCCTCATTGGAGTTGCACTGGCTTCCACTCGCCCAAAGAATAAAATTCTAAATATTAACAACCAATTACAAAGCCATTCACAACTCTGCCCCTGTCTATATATCCAACCTTGTCTCAAAATATCACACTAACCGTCCTCTCCGCTCTTCAAAAGACTTCCTGCTTTCCAGCTCCCTCATCAACTCTTCCCATGCTCACCTCCAGGACTTCTCTAGAGTCTCTCCCATCCTATGGAACTCTCTACCCCAACCTATCCGTCTATCTCCCACTCTGACTGCCTTTAGGTGACTCATCTCTTCAGGGAAGCCTATCCCACCTCAACCAAACCACTGAACCATCACGTTCTCATACATTCATCCTCACACAGCTACCTCTTCATGTATCACTTGTCCCTCCCTTTTAGATTGTAAGCCCTCAGGGGCAGGGCCCTCCTTACCATCTTGTCCTTAATTGTATTGTGATTGTAATGTCTTATATTGTAAAGTGCTGCGCAAACTGTTGGTGCTATATAAATCCTGTATAATAATAATAATAATGATCATTCGAAGGGCTTGATGAAGAGCATCGGCACTGTCCAGGTACATGCACACCAGCAGCTGTGCGGTGTGAACAAGCCCTAAAACCTCCATGCAATTATATATTTTCTGAACACAGAGGCCCTGCACAACAAAAATGCTAGTTGTGTTTTTTTTATGTTGTACAATATTTGTGCAAATTATGAAATCAATATTTTTAGGGAAAAGAAAACCACTAAAATGAATTTTAGTGCACACAAGCACGATATAATACTCGTGTTTTTTTGTAAACTATAAAAGATGGGGTTGTGTTGGATAAATACATTCCAAACATGACAAGCCTTAAAGTGATACCAAACTCTTAAAAATACATACAAGTACCTTAACTATTAACAGAAATGTATCTTATTTGTGTATCACTCGGCTGTAGATCCTCAAATCATCTCTGAATTGGTGCTGACACTGTCCTTCCTTCTGGAGGGGGACTACTTGTGTTCCCCATGGTCCCTGTGTGTGTTGTAAAGTAGTCACCGCTCCAAGCTCACTCCCGGGATGGACTACAATCTCATATTTAGTTTATTCATTTTTATTGAGATTGGAGTCCATCCCAGGAGTGATTTTCAGCAGAAAAGTCAATTAATCAAGAAGTGTGAGTAGCACCCGTGTACATTAAAAGTGATTAGGAATGAGCAGGAGATATTAAAAAAAGTAACGCTAGGAGTAGTTCACAACAGAAGCATAGCCAGATATGAAATCCAGATGGAATTTGTAAATTAAGGTGAGTAATGTTTATTCTGCTAGAGAACAATCAAGATTTAAAATAACAGAATAGTGAAATACAGCAATCCATTTCAACAAAACTTTGGTTAGGCGGGTAATGGGCCCCCTCTACCGTCTATCTATCTATCTATCTATCTATCTATCTATCTATCTATCTATCTATCTATCTATCTATCTATCTACAGCCCCAATTCAAAAAGAATTGGGCCGCTGTGTAAAATCTACATAAAAACTGCACATGATCTGCACATCTCATAAACCCAGATTTTATTCACAATAGAAAATAGAAAACATATCAAATGTTTAAACTGAGAAAATTTACTATATTAAGAAAAAAAAGGGTAATTTTAAACTTGATGGCAGCAACACGTCTCCAAAGAGTTGGGACAAGGCCTTGTTTACCACGGCATCCCCTCTTCTTTTATCAACACTCTGTAAATGTCTGAGAACTTAGGAGACCTGTTTCTGGAGTTTTGGGAGAGGAATGTTGTCCCATTCTTGCATGATATAGGATTCTAACTGCTCAACAGTCCTGGGTCTTCTTTGTTGCATTTTTTGTTTCAAGATACACCAAATATTTTCAGTAGATGAAAGGTACACGCTGTCCCAGGAGGCTGAGCGAGCAGAGCAGGGAGGAGAGCTCAGCCTCCTGTGACAGCGCGGTCTGTCTCCGCCCCAACACCGCTCTGCCGGACTGTGATAGGTGGCTGAGCGATGCGGGAGGAGAGACACCGGCCACTCACGGCGGTCTCCTCCCGGAGCGCTCGGCCGGCTGTCACTTTCTCTCCTTCCTGCTGGGACAAAGAGCAGCGCCCAGCGGGGAGGAAAGAAATCACGGCTGCGCCGACAAAACGGCAGGAATATGGCACTTTCAGCATTTAGCCAAAAGTGCCATTTTCGGACGATATGTTTCGGCGGCCGATATATCGGTGCATCCCTAGTCTGGACTGCAGGTAGGCCATTTAAGCACCTGGACTCTTCTACTATGAAGCCATGCTGTTGTCATAGATGCAGTATGTATGTGGTTTAGTATTGTCCTGCTAAAATATAAAAAGCCCTTCCCTGAAAAAGACATTGTCTGGATGGGAGCATTTGATGCTCTAAAACCTGGATTAATCTTTCAGCATTGATGGTGCCTTTCCAGATGTGCAAGCTGCCCACTCCGTACACACTAATGCACCCCCATACCATCTGAGATGCAGGCTTTTGAACTGAGCACTGATAACAAGCTGGAAGGTCCCTCTCTTCTTTAGTCTGGAGGGCGCAGCGCCCATGGTTGCCAAAAAGAATGTCAAATTTAGATTTGTCAGACCATAGAACAGTTTTCCACTTTGCGACAGACCATTTTAAATGAGCTTTAGACCAGAGAAGACAGCTGCGTTTCTGGATCATGTTCAGATATGGCATCTTCTTTGTATGATAAAGCTCTAACTGGCATTTTTGGATGGCACGGCGGACTGTGTCCACAGACAGTGATTTTTGGAAGTATTTCTAAGCCCATGCAATGATGTCCATCACAGAATCATGTTTTAATGCAGTGCTATCTGAGGGTCCGAAGATTACAGGCATCCAATATTGTTTGTCCCTTGCACACAGAGATTTCTCCAGATTCTCTGAGTATTTTGATGATATAATGTACTGTAGATGACGATACATTTAAAGTCTTTGTAATTTTACTTTGAGGAACATTATTCTGAAATTGTTTGACAGTTTTTAGATGCAGCTTTTCACAGATTGGTGAACCTCTGCCCATTTTTACTTCTGAAATACTCTGACTTTCTAAAGGTGCCCATACAGCTTGCGTACGATAATCACGGGAAATCGCGCGATCGTACGATAATCGCATGGTGTATGGAAGGCGTGCGACCTCTGCTACTGTAAGGTCGCACGACGATTGTCGGCGGGTTTGTGGCATGCTCGTAAGAGGTTCACATTCACCACAACCAAAGGTTAACAGAAAATCGCACAAATGTGCAGATTTTGCAAACTTTGCGCCACAAACGTTGCAGGTTTGCTGACAGAAATACGGAACAAGGTATAATGCAGTGCATTGCCTTTAGTCCTGGTCAGCTCTGGTCAGAGTCACAAAAGCCAATAATCTGAAGGAATGGATAACCTAGCACAAGCAAGGCACAGAGCAGTACAAATTGATAATCAATAACAGAATATACAAAGCAAATCAGCTTCACATTGAAGTCAGATAGTCCTCTGAAGAGAAGCAAATAGTATCTGTGCAACGTGTGAGCTGGTAACCTGGCATAGTCCACCTGTCAACATAGCACCTGATGGAATCAACAAAGTAACCAACATCTGAAGACAAGGAAGAAGAAGGAGAAGGACGGAGGGAGAAGAAAGAAAGAGGAAAGGAAAAAAATGGAAGGAAGAAAGAAAGAAAAAAAGAAAAGAAAGAAACAAGAAGGAAGGAAGGAAGAAACAAGAAGGAAGGAAGGAAGAAACAAGAAGGAAGGAAGAAACACGAAGGAAGGAAGGAAGAAACACGAAGGAAGGAAGGAAGCAATCTAATAACAATGGAAATATATTTACTATCAAAGAATTTATATCTTGCGATACTCAGTTCGTGACCTACCTACTGGAGTGCCCTTGTGGTCTCCAGTATGTGGGAAAGACGACCAGACCGTTAAAGATTCGAAAGAAGTGACACAAATCATAATGTATCAAAGCACTTCAAACTCTTTCACAACAAAAGCCCCAAAGGTCTGAAAATTGTCGGAATAGATCAGGTAAATAAACACTGGAGAGGGGGGTAATTTAAAGAAAAAAAGATCACAAAATGAGTCTAGATGGATTTTTGCCCTTAATACTCTGAAACCCAAAGGACCAGTGGCGGAACTACCACCATTGGGAGCGATGCGGTCGCTATGGGGCCTGCGGCACTGGGGGGGCCCGGATCCCCGCTGCTCTCCCCCGCTTGTATGGGCTGAGGCAGCGGGGATCCGAAAAAAAATGGACGGCGGAGGAGCCGCTGCCGTCCTGAAACCGACAGGAGGACAGCGGCTCC